TTCCCTTTCGAGTTTCCTTTCGAGTTCCCTTTCGAGTTCCTTTTCGAGTTCCCTTTCGAGTTCCCTTTCGAGTTCCCTTTTGAGTTCCCTTTCGACTGAGTTCCCTTTCGAGTTCCCTTTCGAGTTCCCTTTCGAGTCCCTTTCGAGTTCCCTTTCGACTGAGTTCCCTTTCGAGTTCCCTTTCGAGTTCCCTTTCGAGTTCCCTTTCGAGTTCCCTTTCGAGTTTCCTTTTGAGTTCCCTTTCGACTGAGTTACCTTTTAAGTTCCCTTTCGAGTTCCCTTTCGAGTTCCCTTTCGACTGAGTTCCTTTTGAGTTCCCTTTTTGAGTTCCCTTTCGAGTTTTCTTTTTGAGTTCCTTTCGACTGAGTTTCCTTTTGAGTCCCCTTTCGACTGAGTTACCTTTTGAGTTTCCCTTTCGACTGAGTTCCCTTTCGAGTTCCCTTTCGAGTTCCCTTTCGAGTTCCCTTTCGAGTTCCCTTTCGACTGAGTTCCCTTTTTGAGTTCCCTTTCGACTGAGTTCCCTTTCGAGTTCCCTTTCGAGTTCCCTTTCGACTGAGTTCCCTTTTGAGTTCCCTTTCGACTGGGTTCCCTTTCGAGTTCCCTTTCGAGTTCCCTTTCGACTGAGTTCCCTTTTGAGTTCCCTTTCGACTGAGTTTCCTTTTGAGTTCCCTTTCGACTGAGTTCCCTTTTGAGTTCCCTTTCGACTGAGTTCCCTTTCGAGTTCCCTTTCGAGTTCCCTTTCGACTGAGTTCCCTTTCGAGTTCCCTTTCGAGTTCCCTTTCGAGTTCCCTTTCGAGTTCCCTTTCGACTGAGTTCCCTTTTGAGTTCCCTTTCGACTGAGTTCCCTTTCGAGTTCCCTTTCGAGTTCCCTTTCGACTGAGTTCCCTTTTGAGTTCCCTTTCGACTGAGTTTCCTTTTGAGTTCCCTTTCGACTGAGTTACCTTTTGAGTTCCCTTTCGACTGAGTTCCCTTTCGAGTTCCCTTTCGAGTTCCTTTCGAGTTCCCTTTCGACTGAGTTCCCTTTCGAGGTTCCCTTTCGAGTTCCTTTCGAGTTCCCTTTCGAGTTCCCTTTCGACTGAGTTCCCTTTTGAGTTCCCTTTCGACTGAGTTCCCTTTCGAGTTCCCTTTCGAGTTCCCTTTCGACTGAGTTCCCTTTTGAGTTCCCTTTCGACTGAGTTACCTTTTGAGTTCCCTTTCGACTGAGTTCCCTTTCGAGTTCCCTTTCGAGTTCCCTTTCGAGTTCCCTTTCGACTGAGTTCCCTTTCGAGTTCCCTTTCGAGTTCCCTTTCGAGTTCCCTTTCGAGTTCCCTTTCGACTGAGTTCCCTTTTGAGTTCCCTTTCGACTGAGTTCCCTTTCGAGTTCCTTTCGAGTTCCCTTTCGACTGAGTTACCTTTTTGAGTTCCCTTTCGACTGAGTTCCCTTTCGAGTTCCCTTTCGAGTTCCCTTTCGACTGAGTTCCCTTTCGAGTTCCCTTTCGAGTTCCCTTTCGAGTTCCCTTTCGAGTTCCCTTTCGACTGAGTTCCCTTTTGAGTTCCCTTTTGAGTTCCCTTTCGAGTTTTCTTTTGAGTGCCCTTTCGACTGAGTTTCCTTTTGAGTTCCCTTTCGACTGAGTTACCTTTTGAGTTCCCTTTCGACTGAGTTCCCTTTCGAGTTCCCTTTCGAGTTCCCTTTCGACTGAGTTCCCTTTCGAGTTCCCTTTCGAGTTCCCTTTCGAGTTCCCTTTCGAGTTCCCTTTCGACTGAGTTCCTTTGAGTTCCCTTTTGAGTTCCCTTTCGAGTTTTCTTTTGAGTTCCCTTTCGACTGAGTTTCCTTTTGAGTTCCCTTTCGACTGAGTTACCTTTTGAGTTCCCTTTCGACTGAGTTCCCTTTCGAGTTCCCTTTTGAGTTCCCTTTCGAGTTCCCTTTCGAGTTCCCTTTCGACTGAGTTCCCTTTCGAGTTCCCTTTCGAGTTCCCTTTCGAGTTCCCTTTCGAGTTCCCTTTCGACTGAGTTCCCTTTTGAGTTCCCTTTTGAGTTCCCTTTTGAGTTCCCTTTTGAGTTCCCTTTCGAGTTCCCTTTCGAGTTCCCTTTCGACTGAGTTCCCTTTCGAGTTCCCTTTCGAGTTCCCTTTCGAGTTCCCTTTCGAGTTCCCTTTCGACTGAGTTCCCTTTTGAGTTCCCTTTTGAGTTCCCTTTCGAGTTTTCTTTTGAGTTCCCTTTCGACTGAGTTTCCTTTTGAGTTCCCTTTCGACTGAGTTACCTTTTGAGTTCCCTTTCGACTGAGTTCCCTTTCGAGTTCCCCTTTCGAGTTCCTTTCGAGTTCCCTTTCGACTGAGTTCCCTTTCGAGTTCCCTTTCGAGTTCCCTTTCGAGTTCCCTTTCGGAGTTCCCTTTCGACTGAGTTACCTTTTGAGTTCCCTTTCGACTGAGTTCCCTTTCGAGTTCCCTTTCGAGTTCCCTTTCGACTGAGTTCCCTTTCGAGTTCCCTTTCGAGTTCCCTTTTGAGTTCCCTTTCGACTGAGTTCCCTTTCGAGTTCCCTTTCGAGTTCCCTTTCGAGTTCCCTTTTGAGTTCCCTTTCGACTGAGTTACCTTTTGAGTTCCCTTTCGACTGAGTTCCCTTTTGAGTTCCCTTTCGAGTTCCCTTTCGAGTTCCCTTTCGAGTTCCCTTTCGAGTTCCCTTTCGAGGTGCCCTTTCGAGTTCCCTTTCGAGTTCCCTTTCGAGTTCCCTTTCGACTGAGTTCCCTTTCGAGTTCCCTTTCGACTGAGTTACCTTTTGAGTTCCCTTTCGACTGAGTTCCCTTTCGAGTTCCCTTTCGACTGAGTTCCCTTTCGAGTTGGAGGAGTTAGAGGAGTTAGAGGAGCAAAGGGCGTCAAATACGGGTTGCCGTGGACAGCGATAAAGCTAAACACGATAGATAAACACGACCCTATGATGTTGTTTAGTGTTACAGCCGTTTGAGGCGAAAGCTGGCATCAGCCACAACTTTTCCATTACGCCATCAAAAGAGCGCCCTAATCGGGGTCGGGTGTAAATGGACGTACTAAATTTGTGGCCCAACAACAAGTGGTGGCCACACAGCCGAGCGGATCATGGCCATGTAGATTGGAATCGAAAATTGGAATCGCAACCAAATTTTACTACTTCCTCAAATGTTTGGATGTTTCAGGAAATGGGTGGGTGCGCGCAAAATCGAATTGTTTAATCCCGGGTAGAGTAACTCGTATTCATGATAATCTAAAAAGTTTCCCAAAAAGTCTTACATAAAAAGGTTGTGAGGTTAATTGAGTTCCCTTTTGAGTTCCCTTTCGAGTTCCCTTTCGAGTTCCCTTTCGACTTCCCTTTTGAGTTCCCTTTCGAGTTCCCTTTCGAGTTCCCTTTCGAGTTCCCTTTCGAGTTCCCTTTTGAGTTCCCTTTCGACTGAGTTCCCTTTCGAGTTCCCTTTCGAGTTCCCTTTTGAGTTCCCTTTCGACTGAGTTCCCTTTCGAGTTCCCTTTCGAGTTTCCTTTTGAGTTCCCTTTCGACTGAGTTCCCTTTCGAGTTCGCTTTCGAGTTCCCTTTTGAGTTCCCTTTCGACTGAGTTCCCTTTCGAGTTCCCTTTCGAGTTCCCTTTTGAGTTCCCTTTCGAGTTCCCTTTTGAGTTCCCTTTCGAGTTCCCTTTCGAGTTCCCTTTTGAGTTCCCGTTCGAGTTCCCTTTTGAGTTCCCTTTCGACTGAGTTCCCTTTCGAGTTCCCTTTTGAGTTCCCTTTCGACTGAGTTCCCTTTTGAGTTCCCTTTCGAGTTCCCTTTCGAGTTCCCTTTCGAGTTCCCTTTCGAGTTCCCTTTTGAGTTCCCTTTCGAGTTCCCTTTCGAGTTCCCTTTTGAGTTCTCTTTCGACTGAGTTCCCTTTCGAGTTCCCTTTCGAGTTCCCTTTTGAGTTCCCTTTTGAGTTCCCTTTCGACTGAGTTCCCTTTCGAGTTCCCTTTTGAGTTCCCTTTCGACTGAGTTCCCTTTCGAGTTCCTTTCGAGTTCCCTTTGAGTTCCTTTTGAGTTCCCTTTCGACTGAGTTCCCTTTCGAGTTCCCTTTCGAGTTCCCTTTCGAGTTCCCTTTTGAGTTCCCTTTCGACTGAGTTCCCTTTCGAGTTCCCTTTTGAGTTCCCTTTCGAGTTCCTTTTCGAGTTCCCTTTCGAGTTCCCTTTCGAGTTCCCTTTTGAGTTCCCTTTCGATTTTCAAGTTTTCAAGTTTGAGTTTTCAAGGTTTGCACTTTAGAGCCAAATTTAACTAGGAAAATAAACTTTTTAACATCTCAAAATAGTGCCACTCTACTAATTCAATCATGCTCTTTCAGATGGCCCCAAAAAAAACAGGGTCGAAAAAAACTGTACCAAGCCTTGTTCGGGTGACCCGCGGACGGCCTTTTAACACCCTGTAAACAGACGCAAAATAGGCCGTATAGGTAAGAGTCGGCATTATGAAAATCGTCATTCTGTAAAACCGGCTTTATAATAGTCGGCATTATGGAAATCGGCATTATGTAGGTAATCCTCCGAGAGCCCCCCCATTAGGGTTCTGAAAATTCGAGATTTTGAAAATTCGAGATTCTGAAAATTCGAGATTATGAAAATTCGAGATTCTGAAAATTCGAGATTTTGAAAATTCGAGATTCTGATTTTCGAGATTCCGATAGCAATTCTTGGCAAAATCGTCGCCGTGTCTTCCTGTGCACATCGTGAATCCACAGACGGGAAAAGGCAAAAGAGCGATTGGAGCTACCAGGCGCTCCGCTTAAAGGGTGAAGCAAGCTTACACTTAGGCTTGAATGACGTTAAGCTGAGGGCTAGACGTATCTGAGCTTTTTTTACACTTGTGGGTTAGAAAGCGTAGTTTGGAATGTCTTGTAGCCAAAAGTCCGCGCCACCTTCTCAAAACGTACAATACACTTGATTATTTTATCATAAAGGCACGCAATACCGTCGAATCCGGAATGTTTTTTGAACGTGTTTGTGTGTGGCAAAGTTGAAGTGAAGCGAGGGGGGGCCGTCTCAGCCGAGCTTGTTGAGGAACATTGCGGCCACCTGAAAATTGTTAGTTCTTTCTCGCATTTAGGAGGCTTAGCGGAAATCGTTTATTCAACGTCTCAAAAAATATTGTACCAGTGAATTCGGGGTAGGGGAAGGCCGCAAGTGGGTGAGTAAAACGTTTGGGGGAATGTTTGTCATTTTCGTGCTAGACTAATTTTATCACAAAGTGCGGGAACTGCTGATATGGGGGGGCGATAGAATTTACCTTTTGGGCTTTAACAAATCGCTTCTTTAGCTAAAAGGGCCGAAATGGTAATAAACTTTTGAAAACAAGCCAATTGTATTTTTTGAGCGTGCTTTTAGCAAATAAACTTACTTTAAAAGCTAGACTAGATTGAATTTGCTCAAAAAAGGCCAAAGTTCCGTCAAAAGCAGAAGTATGGGCTTACTGACTAGCACGAAGAGGTTCTGGGGGGAGCTGGGGAGCACTGGCCTACATCTACATCTTCAAAGCAAACACCATTGTCAAGAATTCCTCATATTGAATCGTGATGACGCCGTCGCGGTCGGTGTCCTTGTCGCGGAACGAGGCGGTGAGCGTCTGAAATCGTCACTTGTTGCAGAAATCAATATAGTTATGTTTTTATGACGTAGCCATGACATGAATCATCGAAAATCGCGAATTTTTAGTCAATTTCCAAAAACAAACCTGCAAGACGACGCACAACTGGATGAAATCGTCAAAGTTGATGCGGCCCTGGTGCGTCCGGTCGAACTTCATCATCAGGATGTTGTAGAAGCGCTCGGAGAGGCGGTACCCTAAATTGACAGCGTTTTTCAAGCATTTGAAACTCCATTTCCCAGGCCACAACGAGCGAAAAACTCACCGAATTGCGTGAGAGCATTCTGCAGCTCTTGCTTGTCGATGTTGCCCGAGTTGTCGCGGTCGAACCCGCGAAAACAATTCGTCCAATCGTTGATGTAGTTCCAGAGGGCCTGAAGCAATTTTTGGGCTTGAAATTAAATGTGCTACCTGGAATTCGGGGAAATTGATGGCTCCGTCGCCGTTTGAGTCGAACATTCCTGAAAAAAAAATAAAGCTTGAAAGGGCCCACGCAACTGCAATAGCCCCAAAATCTAAGATATTTCCACTCACCAATCATCAGCCGGCAGGTTTCCGGGTTGAACGGATTCCATGTTCCGTTGCTGAGGGCTCGCTGCAGCTCATCGGAAGAAATTTGGCCCGACCGGTCGGCGTCGACCTGAAAATACGTCAGATTATGCTAAAACTCAAAACCCGGTGCTGGTTCGTTAGCGGAGGCTCTAATGTCGTAGATTTTTCAATATTTCTTGATTTTTTGGGGGCTACATCATCGATGCCCGCTAGAGCATCAAAAAAATATAGTAAGAATCTTAGTTCTAGAAAAAATACCCCCCGCTAATGAACCAGAACGCAAAAGCCTTACTTACCGACGCAAAAATTTGCTGCAAATTCGGCGGCGCGTTGTAGGTCATCGGGGGCCTGGAAGCAGAATGGTTAGATGTGACAGTGCGACACGACATTTCGAGAGAATTTTTAGCCGCCGCGAAACTTGAGCCTCCTTATATAAGTTTGCGCAGGCAGGGGGCTGGGGTGAAGATGGGGAAAAAGAGAAAAATATTTGGGATTGAAGAGATCTCGCAGAGAAAGGGGGCCCAACTTGTTTAGGGTGTGGAGGGCCCGGGATGAGTCATCGAGGTCTGATTGGGCCGCTGACGTTGGAAAAGAGCGTCATCGTAGGGGGGAAGGCTTTGCGAAATAGTGCAAAAATACTCCAGGGAATTTGCAGAAATTGAAACTAAGCATACGGAAAGAGATAGAGAGAGAGAGAGAGAGAGAGAGAGCGAGAGAGCGAGAGAGCGAGATAGAGGGAGAGAGAGAGAAACAAAAAGCAAATTTTGCTGTTTGATTCTTGCCAAAATGCCGAATTAGGCAGCGGGAAAGTCCATAAAGCCGCCAGGGTTCTTTGGCATTATCGGGGGGGCAACTTTCTTTCAGGATCTCATTTTTCAATAAAAATAAAGGAAGTGTTTCTAAATCGTTTTTTAACATTCCTAAACGTAATAACTTTACAAATTTGATTCAATAAACCAAAATTTCGTCGCTTAAAAAATTATATCTTTTTGCTTGTTTTCGGCTCAAGATATGGTTAAATTTTTGCGAAAAATACCATTAAAATCTTGCCCATAGCATTACTTGCCGTTTCTAAAAAGTTGCCCCCCCCCCCGATAATGCGAAAGATCCGTCCCAGAATTCATGATTTTTATTTTTCACGCGAGAATTAGCTGAAAAAATAATTAGTAAAACAGGCTGGGAGATCTCCGTTTTTAAGCCTATCCCAAGCCCCAAGCCCACAATTTCATCACGCGCACCGAATCTGCCCATTTGGCCACGTATCCCGCTCCTACCTCCCGAAATTCTGCTGATGATGGTACATAATTTAGTGTAGAAATAATACGATCAGGTACGAGAATCAATAGGCCGGCGCAAATGACTGGACCTTATCTGGGTGGCGGGGGAGGCGGCCCGTTTTTTATGCTTGCCGCCCGGGCGGCTGACTCACGACAAACATGTGCAATTCGAGAGCACGCGCCGAGAGATGTGGAATTGTTGGTGGCGGCAGAGAAGCCAGGCTTTCATATTGCCATGTTTTTCGGGGTGGGTTTTCGGGATAGGGTTACTGCGCCGGAAAGGTTTTCGTATTTTGGGCCGAAAAACATCAATTTTCGACCTAGAATTCAATTTTTAATAAAATTGTAAAGTTTTTAAGCTTAGGAATAGTTAAAAATAACGTAGAAAACATCCCCTTTTACCGAAAAATTTAGGCTTGGGCCAAAAAAATGGGTCCCCGCCAAACCCTAAAGAACCGTAGTGTCCCTAAACGGTTTTTCACTACTCCTAAATGCAAAAAGTTACAAAGTTGTAAAAAAACTCAAAAATATCCATTTTTCCACCAAAAATGATCGATTTTTTACCAACATTTCGGCTTTATTAGAACTTTTTAACCTAGTTTTAAAGCAATTTGCACAAAAGCTTTTTTGCAGCTGGGAAGATCCGACGAATCCGAATCTGCGTTATAAAATTTCAGATGGCGATGATGGGTTTGATAGGACCGGGCAATCAAAGTTCAATCGTCCAAACGGCCCTCCATAGATGCATCTTGCAAGCGATGCCGGGTCAACGCGATCGATTAGACGGCACAGCCCACTCGGCTATGTGACCACCACTTGTTGTTGAGCCCAACAAGTTTAGTACGGCACTTTACCGCTGATCCCGACTAGGGCGCCCTTTTTATCGCGTAACCGAACGGTTATGGCTGCTGCCCGAAAACGCTGTTCAGTTTCCGCTTCAAACGGCTATAAATCTTGTTTTATCCCTGCCTTAGCTTTTCGTTGTTGACGGCAGCTCGTATTTGACGCCCATTCCGTCTTCCTAGATTTCATCCTAAGTTGGCGAATGCTAAATTTCGAAAACAAAAATAGAGTACCTTTACACTTAATTACGGAAGTTCGCACGGAACGCCTGCCGGAATCACGCCGCTTTTTTGCTTGCTGCTAATCAAATTGTTAAAATTATGAATGTAGCCGTATAATTCTACAAAAAATTGATTTTGTATATTTAATTCTATACTTGGTATCAACGCGCCCCCAGGGTCCCAAGCCTTCCTGGGCCTGTCCGAGCTCTCGAGAATAACCTTCTCCGCTCTTATTTACATTTCATAAACTGTCCCTGGTCGATTTGATCATCTCCATCTTGCCCTTTTATCAGCCCGCGGCATCTCAGCACGGCTGGGGCTTCATCTTTCGCGGCGTCTCACTCCACAATTCCCAAAAAATCTACGCTCTTCAATTTACTTGCTATTCTGTTTTCTCTTAAACCTACGCTCTGCCAATTGCCGATCTAATCCAAAATGTTCTAGCCATGACGTGCCCGGAGGAGAGCTACACCTCGGTGCTCGTCACGCGCTACTGCCGCTCGTCGCCGCTGCTCAAGACGTTCTCCGAGAAGAACAAGGTATTTTCTTTGCATTTTGGCTTCAATATTTGTTTTTGAGACGATCCTCTGGCGCCAACTGTGGATTTGGCTGGCCGAGGCGGAGCTGGAGCTTGGGTTGAAGCAGGTGAGCGTTTTGGCGATTTTGTTGCTTCATCTCTTTTAGATCACCCAAGAAGCCGTCGACGAGCTGAAGGCCAACCGCGACAACATCGACTGGCCGCTGGTGCGCGCCGAAGAAAGGCGGCTGAAGCACGACGTGATGGCGCACAACCACACGTACGGAAAGGTAAATACAAATTTTGCGCTACGCAGACCTGAGAAATCGATGAAGGGGTCGATATATTTGGAAAATTGAGGCTTGATTGACTTTTCGCGTCCCGCCTGGAAGGGGTTTTCGTATTGGAATCGACTTGGAAATGTTTTAAAAATTCGGCCGCAGGTGATAAAATACTTTTTCAGGCCTTTGAGGCGCTTTTTTCAATGTTGGCCACATTTTGAACATCTCCAAATCGATTCCGGCACATCAAGCTACTTTTCCGGAGAAGACCATAAAAGCAAATCGTCCCAAGCTGGACATAGTAGCGGTATAACCAAAATCGAGGCAGTGAAAACCGGTGTAGTGTACAAAATACAATTGTGTGTGCGCAGACTTTTATCAGTTGAAAGTTTGACCGGGGTGATTAGGGGTTGTATTCGATCGGCAGGTTCTTGCGGCGCACCATGCCGTCGCCCTGGAACCATTCGCGGCGGAACTGCTTGGCGGCGCCGTCGGGGGTGTTGGTCCACTCGATGGTCACGCGGTCGTTGTTGGTGTCCTCAGCGCCAAACTGGAACGAATCGCACGAGACGGCGACCTGAAAGAGTGATGATTGGACGAGCAACATCAAGATTCATCAGGATCAAGCCGTTCAAGCGAAAAACTCACCAGAACCTGCTCCTTGGGGTCGAGGACCCCGCACGGCGGGTCGACGCCCAGGCGCTTCATGTTGGTGGTCTTGAAGGCCCATCCGATGCGGCGGCCGCCAGAGTTGATCACCTTGATGTGATACGTGTGCTTGTCGTCGTACGGGGCGTTGAAGACGATCTTCGTGCCGGGCTGGGTGGTGATGTCACCGGGAGCGACGGATTGGGCCATCTTCTTGATTGAAGTTTGGGTGCCATTCCGCACCGGCGGGGTTCTTTTATACTTGGAAACCCATGCAAATCGATTGATGGTTATGACGCAGTTCCGGATTTTTAATACTATTATTCAAATTCACATTTATAACCCAATTTTTCAGATTTGCCCGAAGGCCGCCGGCATCATCCACCTCGGCGCCACGTCGTGCTACGTCCAGGACAATGCCGACCTGATCTGCATCCGGGAGGCCGTCGACCACATTTTACGAAGGTGTTATTTTGATAATAATATTTTTAAATGGTGTTAGAGTCGCCGTCGTGCTGCACCGGATCGGCGTGTTCGCCGACAAGCACAAGGACACGGTCACAGTTGGGCGCACCCACTACCAGGTCCGTTTTGGCGTTTTGTTGGAAAATGCAATTTTTTTAGACGGCGTCTCTGGTCACCGTTGGCAAAAGAGCGGTCATTTGGGCCCAAGAACTGGTACTCGCCTTCAAGCAGGTGACTTGGCCAAAATTACGATTTATTTCCTTTATAGATTGAACATTTCCGCGAAACGATCAAATTCCGCGGGGTCAAGGGCGCCACGGGGACCCAGGATTCGTTTTTGACGCTGTTCCAGGGAGATGAGGATAAGGTACGCTCCATTTTCGCGAGTGGATTTTTGCCGTTTAGGTAGAGCAACTCGACGAGCTGGTCACGAAGAAGGCCGGCTTCTCCCAACGATTCTTCATCACCGGCCAGACGTATTCTCGACAGCAGGTGCGTATGATTTTTTAAATGTTTTGGTTTGCGTACGTACATGGCTCGTAAAAATAAAAAAATCTCGTTTCCCGACTTTAAAATAATTTTTAGACCTTTACGTACCAGGAATTAGCAAATCGCCCGGGGGTGGAGAAATATTGCATTTTGGAAAAAATGGTGCTTAGGAAAAAGGAATTTAATTAATTTTGTGCAGCCCTTTTTGTGTATTTTCAAGTAAATCCATTTTTCCAGGACGCCCACCTCAGCTTTGGGCTGGCCGCCCTCGGCGCTGCGATAAAGAAGATCTCGACGGACATTCGAATCCTGCAGGCCTTCGACGAGCTGCTCGAGCCGTTCGAAAAGGACCAAATTGGCTCGTCGGCAATGCCCTACAAGAAGAACCCGATGAAGGACGAGAGGTGCTGCTCCATCGTGCGAGCCCTTCAGCAGTTGCCCGCGGTACGATCTTACGAGTAATTCATTTTTGTCTTTCCTTTAGGAAGCCCTGTCGATCCTATCGGACCAAGGGCTCGAGCGCACGCTGGACGACTCGGCCGGCCGCCGTCGCTGGATCCCCGAAGGATTTCTGCTCGCCGACGCTGCTCTCGATGTGTTGCAAGTGAGCTTTTCTCTCACTCCTTTCTTTTCTCTCTTTTCTCTCACTTTTCGGGCATTTCCCGTTGTTTTCACATTAGGGTGCAGCGTTAGGTTTCAAATATATAAGAAAATGTATTATCCGGGCTAAACATTAATTTTTTTCTGATTTTGAGGGAATTTTCCGCTTGAAATTCATCATCACCTTTTGCAAAAATACTATGAAAGTGGTGGCTTTTACATTTATCAGTATTTCTGGACTGATAGGGAAAAATCAGTTCCGCCGATGATGCTGTTTCACTGATTAATAATCCATTTTAGAACATCTTCGAGGGTCTGACCGTCCAGCGCGAGAACGTGGACGACCTCGTCGCCCGAGAATTGCCATTTCTCGGCCTCGAGAAGGCGATGATGTACTTGACGGAAGAAGGCGTAGACCGGCAACAGGTAAAAGGTTTTCGAGAATTTTTGAAATTTTTTGTTCAGGCTCATTCCGTCATTCGTGAGACGGCCCTGGCCGCCAAGCAGCGCCAAAAGAAGCATCCGGTCGACATGGCCGAGATGCTGCACGACCCCTTCTTTGATAAGGTAACCTAGCAAATCTAAATTATTAACTTTTTCTTAGGTACGCGACCGGGTGCTGGCCCTCGTCTCCAAGCCGCTGTCGTTCACCGGGCGCTGCGTCACCCAGACGGTCCGTTTCTGCAATGTATGCATTTTATCCCCGTTTAGACACGCTTCATCAAAGAAGAAATCGACCCGCTCGTCTCCAAGTATGTGAGGGAGGAAGACCTGAAGAAAGTTGAACTTGCGGTCTAAAAGTTTCCCTTCCGAATTTTTGTGTTTTTGTTATGTTGATAATTTCTTACGGTTACTGATTTGTCACGATTTTCCAGATGTAATGAATAAAAGTATTGATTGTGAAAGATTGGTAGAAGTATTTGGACGAAATTGGCCGAAGTACAGACACGGGCTTCGCTTTGTTGGAAGGACGGAAAGCTTGACAGTTTCAATTTTGCTAATATTGGCGCTCATTACGAAAACCAAAGTAGGGACAATAAATTCCGTTGGAAACGTATTTAAAGAGATAGGGGCGGCATAAGACAATCGATTACGCGCGGGAAAGAAAATGTCTCTGCGCCTCTCCCCTGGGCGCCCTCTCTCGCCGCCGGTCGCGCTGGGACCTGTTGAACCCCCCCTCCCCAAGGGGGGTTCAACAGATGCCGTCCTCATCTCTTTAAATAGGCTTAAAAAGATATTTAAAAACTTTTCAGGCGACAAGTCCTTCGTTAGTGACTTGGCAGGCCAAACCGCACTTCTTCATGCCATTCGGGCCGCGCGGGCAGTGCCTCTACACGTCGTGCTACTGCGCAGAAAATATTCTCAAGGTAAGCGATAAATCATTTCAACCACAAACTTTTAGCTTTGCGCCCGAATACCTGCAGGTCGGCACGATGCCTTCTTCGTCGTTTTCCTATCAAATGAGGAAAGGGCGTTTCCGATATTCGAACAGGTAAACCATAAAGTTCTTCATTACTTTATTGTTCTTTAGAAAGCTTGCGAAGAAGCTCGTGACTACGTGATTTGGGACTACCACGTGATTCTCGTTGAGAAGGCCGACGGCGCGTCCAAGGTCCGAAAGCAGCTGCCGATATTTTGTTTTTTTAGGTCTACGATCTCGACACAACGCTCGATTTCCCGTGCCCATTTACCGAATATTGCGAAGAATCATTCCCCAGCGAGGTTTGCGATCTTTAATTCCTTGGATATGTCGAATTTAGTGGAAATCCCCGCCGCAAGGCGCCCGAAAGTTCCGCATCCTTCCGGTGGCTGTCTACTTGGAGCACTTTTCCAGCGATCGGTAAGTTTTCAGCTTGCGAGTTACTAAAAGCTTTGTTCTTTTTCAGGCGGCACATGCGCAAAGCAGACAACACGTGGAACTCGCCGCCGCCGAGCTGGGAACCCAACTTCCGCGTTGAGCTTGGTGAGCTTTTGATTTGGCAATGCATTAATTTGTTCCTAGGCCACAACCTCGACGAGTTCATCAGAATGGACGCCGACTCTGCAGTATCCCACGTCTCGACGGTGCTCGACGAAGAAGCTTTTTACGGGTATTTTTTATGAAATAGTTTCCCCTTCTACCGTCGATAAATTTTTGATTTCTATCCGAAATTCCACTGACTTTTCAAATCCGATTTATTCGCGCATACACGTGGTGATTAAAAATTGCAACAAAGAAATGGGCAGAGATCGGTAAATGAATCGGGGGGAAAATTGTCATCGGGTTCTAGGTATCCATGGAATGACAATCGAAAGAAATGGATAAAAATCACTCAAATGACTTGAAAAACCTATTTGCTCTCCTTCTTAAATCCTTGGATATGTCGAATTTAGTGGAAATTCCCGCCGCAATGCGCCCGAAAGTGCGAAAGGTCGAATGAATGAGTGTGAATGAGTCGGATGAAGGGGCTGGCGATGCGGTGCTCAGAGGCGCCGCCTAACGGAACCTACAAGCAAATAAATCAATCAAAATCTTTCAAATTTAGCATAAATTCAGCAGATTTATTTTACTACAGCAAGGTAAAAAGTAACCTTTTAGCATGGTAGCGCTAGTATTTAGATAACTTCCGCTATTGTGAGGGTCGTCTGCTTTACAGGGTAATAGATTACCTTGGGGTGTATTTGCTATAGTCGAGTCCCAGGGCCTGGCCCTTCCGGATATGACAGCCCGGGCATTCTAAAACAGAAATAGGGTCTGTAAAATGGCTCACTTTTTTTGCCCAAGCAGCTGCAGAGCGCATCCGGGTGGGCAAGATACTTGATGATAGCCTTGCTGAAGCTTCCAAATCATTGGACAGGCTGTTATACTCACCGGTAACGTCCTTTGCAGGTCTGGCACAAGCCGCCGCCGTAGTGGAACGAAAGGTCCTTGGAGTACTTCTCACACCAAATACAAATACCGGGCTTCTGCGGAACACGGTTGGGCTTTGCGCCCTCGCCTGGAACCGCGGTTTCTGAGATGCCGCTTTGTTTTGATCGTTGTCATGGAATGTCCTAGACAATATCTCACCCTTCACCCCCTCGTCGCTGCCCTCATCCGTGGTATCGTCTCCGGGGCGCTCTTTGTCATCCGACATCTCTTCCTCGCTAATCTCCTCATCCGCCAGATCACAGCGGCACTATGAAATGAGCTTGAACCAGGATTTCAAATATCGGCCTACAATTCGGTCGGCACTCTCGGAGCGGATGTGCAGATGGGTAGCCAGGGCGGCATCATACCAGGTAGCGTACTTGGTATACAGGTTCAGGACGTCACCCATCTCGGAGACCACCGTGGTCAACTATAAAATTAGCATTTTGCAGATCAATTTTTGAAGCTTGCACCTGCGTCTGATGATGCTGCAGCGCGGTGGTTAACTCCTGGCTTTCCCTGATCGCCTCGGTCAGAGCACGCTGCGAGCGACCAATGGCGCGCAGGTAGGTCTAAAGGTCTCATAATTCGTTATCAGATGATGCTCCCAACGTTGAAGGCAGCCATGGACTGCTGCAACTGGGTCGCGCACGGGCAGATCGGCCTGTACTGAGCCCGCTTAATGATACGGGCCAGCACCATCGTCTTCAGAAAACTGTTGTTGAAGATGCGCACAGGCGGCACGTACTCGGGCGCCATTTCCGGGATCTAAAAGGCGAACGATACTTTAAACAGTTGCCGGAAAGTTGTCTAATTTTAAAAATAATTTCAAAGATTATAAATACCGGCGGCAGGTTCCTCAGGTCCGGGCCAATGATTCCATAGGTGCGCTGGATGTTGGTGGCCATTCCCTTCATACGGTTCACGTACTCGCACACTTCCTTGACCGCCCCTTGTGACGAGTTGAAGGTGGAAACGCCCTGCAACATTTGAGGTAACGGGTAGGTAAAAATGTCGGCTAAGCTATAATTTAGCAGCACTAACAGTTTACTTTCGGCTTTTACCCACCATCGAAATAGCCTCGGAAAACCTATTGGTGAAAGAAACGGCATGGCTTTGCACCGTATTCCCAGACTCTTGGAGACGGTTCATCGATTTCTGAAATCCAAATAATAGAACTGATCGCATAAGGGAATAATATAACACTAATAGCAAGTATCCATCTTACCAGAAAAAGTCTCCCGTCCTGCGCGAAGAAGCCGTTGCCGACACCTTGTCCCGGATCACGAGGCGCGCCGCCAGCCATGGCTGGGAATTGAGGGTGAAATGAGGTGTTTTTCTTTGGTCTTGACATTTTTTATGCTTATTCTTCTATGCTTGATGCTTTGTATGATCCTGACCAGGTGATGTTTTCTTTCCACAGGATGTCCCAAAAACGGTCAGCGTTTGGTCGCCTGGGAAAATTTAAGTATACAGTCACCTAGCCAAACCCAAACTTTTTATATGTAGAAATGTTTAGCTCGACGAGCTGGTTCAGGATCAGTTGAAAAAACGATTGGGAAACGCTTCTGGAGCGAGGTTTGGGATTCGGATGGGCTGCCGCTCCACTCTTTCGAAATGGGGGCGCCCCCGGCCGCTTCGCCGGCCTTGGCGCCCCCATTTCGAAACCCTGTACGAGCTCGCACCCATCCGAAGCGACTAGGCCCCCGGTTGCACGAAGCCTTATTTTTAGGTACAGTTTCTGTGTATTAGAGCGAAGTATCCAAAGGAAATGGATTTTTTGGCCCTTCTGGATTTCAAACTTTGGACCCCTATATCTCGCTCCAGAAGTGTTTCCCGATCGTTTTTCAACTGATCCTGAACCAGATCGTCGAGCGGAAAATTTCTACATATAAAAAGTTTGGGTGTGGCTAGGTGACCGTATACTTGAATTTAGCCGGTCGCCTTTTTACGATCGGGCTGAAATTTTGGGTACGACGAACCGCAACGAAATTTGCGGCCGAAGTTTGCGAACGGATACTTACCCACGTAGAAGAGCAAAAAACCGGTGTAGATTGGGCAAAGGTGCGGTCTGCGCCTCTTCGCCTAGCGCCCTCTCTCGCCCTTCTCCGACTGACTGGTCGGCTACTGGCCAAATATAGATGATCCCTGATCTATTCGGGTCATCCTTATCGCTTGAGCTTTTTCCGAACTTCGTGCCTTTTCCTGATTTTTAGATTCTGTTCTTGATCAGTTTGGGTCTGTCTGTCCGCGTTCTATCCGAATCCGAAGAGACCTAAGCTCTAGCTCCTTCCCCCTTCGAGTTGAATTCTGCTTCACACAGACAGAGACCACAGCATTCTAGTTACAGCTATAGCTTTAGCTAGGCTCATAGGGGAAGTGTTTTTGACCCAGGTGGCAAATCGCTATGTAACCGACATCAATCTATAGAGAATCGAAAATAAATGTCGCATATTAGTTTGTGCTGAACGCCCCTCTCTAAAAATTTATTAAGTTTTCCAAGGTTCCTGGAAATTGAACTTTTTGGTTGGTGATTTTCAATTAGATTTAAATAGCTTATCTGATAAAGAAATTTTTTCTGATTCGAACGATGTCATTAATGCCAGGTCGCCTCCTTAGACACGTTTCAATAGTCTGGCCTAGCGCCAAAATTACCAGGTTTACAGAGAGAAAAGGAGCCCATACAGTTAAGAGTTAAGAGCCCATTTTATCATTAATTTTTTCGAACTTTCCCAATTTCCAAAATTTTTGAGTTAGGTAGCTGATTTGATAGCACCAAAGATTCTGAATACTTTGGCAAGGTTTGTTTTTGCGATATGGACTCGAAAGGTTAAAATATTTGGATTCAAAGATAGCAATTTTTGGCAAAAAGTCACTTTAAAACTCAAATCACTTTTTTAGTGAGGGGCGTTCAGCAAAAACTAAATTTTAGGTCTCACATTTTTTTCAATTCTCTATCGATTGATGTATGTTACATAGCGATTGGGAAAATTCCCGGGTTACGGTACTCGCCCAAAAAGCTGTTTTGTGTAGTCAAATCCATAACTAAAGGTCAAAAAGGGTTCATCATCAAGAATTAGGTGGGGGAAGACCCTTTTTAACAAAGAAAAACGGGTTTTATTTTTGTGGTTCGAGTACCGTAAAAGGGGTGCGGGGGATACCGGCTTACGGTACTCATCCAAAAAGCTGATTTTGGTGGTCAAATCGATAAATAAAGGTCAGAAATGGGTTTTTCGTCAAGAATTAGGTGGGGGAGAGATTTTTCAGCAAGAAAAATTGATGAAATGGGAGTACTAGGGCCATGAAATCAGGCAAGGTGGGCCGTCGATTCTTCGAAGGTAATTCTTGATGACGAACCCAGGTTCTTTAGGATTCGCGGGGGGGTATTCCCGGGGGCAAACCAATTTTTTTCGGCACAAGCCTAGATTTTTTTATAAATTGCGGATGCGTTTCTAAATTGTTTTTAACTATTGCTGAGCATAAAAACTACACATATTTTAACCAAAAAAAAATAAAAAAATAAAAATTAGGTCAAACAATCCTATAGAACCTTTAGGATTCGCGGGGGGGAAGACCCAAAATGACCAAATTTTCGACTTTTTCAAACATTTTCTAAATTTTCGGAAAGTTCTTCTGCTTTAAATATAGTTGAAACTTACTAAAAACAATTCGAAAACACTTTATATTTGATTACTAGGTCAACCGGAACCACCCGAAGTCGAGATGGGGTTTCGGTATGGGACCCAGCATATTTTGTGCAAATTTATCGCTGATTCCGAAGCTGCTTTCAATATTTGCCAGATACTCGAATCAAAAAAAGTTAAAAGTATGCTATCGATCCGCGCGCAGTGAAAGTATGGCGTTGAGGCCTGCGCGCGTAGGTCCTGCCATTACCACGAAGAGATTAGCGCCGAAGGTGCCGCGAACTTTGCGGCGCGTACTTGCGGCGCGACCATTGCGGCCGAATTATCCATATAGCAGCGCCCAAAACCCGCTTCGCAGGCCTTGGGCGCCGGAATGCGGCCTTTGCATGAGAAATTTGACTTTCCGATGGCTTGTTATCCATATACCCATTATCCATGAAAACTGCAGATTTTATGCAAAATAAGGATGTTACTTGCTTGAGCAAACAGGACGATGCTGATTTAACTCTTTTCTAAGAAATCGGGCCAAAAAAAATTTTGTGAAACGAAAAGCGCTTGTTTTCTCGCCTTTCCGAGAGCTTTCGAATGGTGTCAAAATCATCCCGATCCGACCTTTCCCCGGACCGCTAGAGGGGGTCGATTTTTTTGGGACACTTTGTATGGCTTTTCTAATTTAAGTCTAGTTAAACATTACTGAAAACCCATTTAAAATAGTTACTAGGCAGCCCAGGGTTACATTGATAAGAAATCCTGGATTGGGGGCTCCTTGCAGGAAAATCGTCAGTCCCCGGGCCAGACACCTGGATTTGGAATCGAGTTGCATACTGAATCTTGGTAACCGGAAGCTTCTGATCTTCAGCAGTCGATTTACATGAGTTCCTAGACATAAAAGATTTCGAGACCAAAGAAAAACACCTCATTTCACCCTCAATTCCCAGCCATGGCTGGCGGCGCGCCTCGTGATCCGGGACAAGGTGTCGGCAACGGCTTCTTCGCGCAGGACGGGAGACTTTTTCTGGTAAGATGGATACTTGCTATTAGTGTTATATTATTCCCTTATGCGATCAGTTCTATTATTTGGATTTCAGAAATCGATGAACCGTCTCCAAGAGTCTGGGAATACGGTGCAAAGCCATGCCGTTTCTTTCACCAATAGGTTTTCCGAGGCTATTTCGATGGTGGGTAAAAGCCGAAAGTAAACTGTTAGTGCTGCTAAATTATAGCTTAGCCGACATTTTTACCTACCCGTTACCTCAAATGTTGCAGGGCGTTTCCACCTTCAACTCGTCACAAGGGGCGGTCAAGGAAGTGTGCGAGTACGTGAACCGTATGAAGGGAATGGCCACCAACATCCAGCGCACCTATGGAATCATTGGCCCGGACCTGAGGAACCTGCCGCCGGTATTTATAATCTTTGAAATTATTTTTAAAATTAGACAACTTTCCGGCAACTGTTTAAAGTATCGTTCGCCTTTTAGATCCCGGAAATGGCGCCCGAGTACGTGCCGCCTGTGCGCATCTTCAACAACAGTTTTCTGAAGACGATGGTGCTGGCCCGTATCATTAAGCGGGCTCAGTACAGGCCGATCTGCCCGTGCGCGACCCAGTTGCAGCAGTCCATGGCTGCCTTCAACGTTGGGAGCATCATCTGATAACGAATTATGAGACCTTTAGACCTACCTGCGCGCCATTGGTCGCTCGCAGCGTGCTCTGACCGAGGCGATCAGGGAAAGCCAGGAGTTAACCACCGCGCTGCAGCATCATCAGACGCAGGTGCAAGCTTCAAAAATTGATCTGCAAAATGCTAATTTTATAGTTGACCACGGTGGCCTCCGAGATGGGTGACGTCGTGACCCTGTATACCAACTTCGTGACCTGGTATGACACCGCCCTGGCTACCCATCTGCACATCCGCTCCGAGAGTGCCGACCGAATTGTAGGCCGATATTTGAAATCCTGGTTCAAGCTCATTTCATAGTGCCGTTGCGACCTGGCTGACGCCGGAATCGTGGATGACGACCCGGCCGAAGAGATGGCTGAGCGTGTGGATGGCGATGCTCTCTCCGAGGCCGAGGATCCCCAGCCGACGGATGCCGACGTCCACAGCGACGACGAGTCGTCCTGCCGTACCGCCAATACCGTATGTTCTTGTATACAATCCCGAGTTCTCACCAGCCTAAACAAAGTTTTTTTTTGCAGTAGAAGTCAGTCGCGTTTGGTCATCCTTCGTGAAGCAAAGCTCGACTTCACACTCTCATCCGACAGGCCACTCTCATATCGCCGACGCAATATTTTTCTTCGAGAGTTTTAAATAAACGGATCATGTTTATTGAAAAGTGGACGCGTTGACAAACAAATCAGTGTGAGGATCCCTGCAAAGATCAGGAAACAACCGGGGAACAAAACACTACAACGAAGAGCGGCAACAAAAGTAGCGGATAGATATAAGTTAAAAATGATAATAACGGAACCGGGAATTTTTGTGTGATCATTGGCCGTTGGCGTAGACGACGGGCTCACCGTTCACCGACGCGCTTTCCCGTCGCTCCATCTGCTCGAGTAGCCAGCGCTTGTGTTGAAGCTCCTTGTGAACCTTCTGCAACTCGCGCTCGCGGTCGTCTTGCTGTCGCACCTGGAAAACAGAATTTAATAACGGCAACCAGAAGTGTTTGGAACGAAACTAGACAATTGCTAAAAAGTCTGACGAACCTCCTTGGTAATCTTCTCGACACGCTTGTTGATGGCCTTTTCTTCGTGCTGTGCGAGTTGCCTAAAAGTAAGTTGCACCGCACAGAGAAAACTAATTACCGGAAAGTGTTCAGTTCAATGCGAGCCAGCTCCCCGTCTTGCTGCCGATCGTAAATCTTCTGGGCGAGCTGGGCATGCACTTGTGTGTAGCCGCCGAGCTTGATCTTCACGCGCTTCTCGATCTTGCCAATCTTCTTCGCCTTCGACGTCATCCAGTCACGGGCCATCTAAAGGGTAGGATGCAATCAAGTTACAAGACCAAAAACTTACATTGAACTGTTGCGAAAGGGCTTCGATTTGCTGCTCCTTGCCGAGGCCGCCCAGACGGCAGAACTTGCCGCGGGAGAAGGCCAGCTCGCCAAAGCACTGGTCGACGGCCTCCCAATACTCCTCATCCATAGGAGGGCCTTGTTCAGCTTCGTCACTGAAATGAAATTGATTGGGTTGAAAATACAAATCGAAAGCCAATTGTAAAAAAATTAGAACACTCACTCGATCAATTTCTTCGCGTCAGCCAGCTGCGCAGGAGTAAAGGCAAGCTCCGGGGCGGTGCCGTCGATGTCCCACTTGACGAGAAGCTCCATCTCGGCCTTGATCAAGTTCTCAGCCTAAACCGGAATCGAAATTTTTTAAAATGATTGTTACCCGGTTCAGCTCGCTCTTGTTGTCCACCGGTCGGAAGGCAACTTCAGAAATTTTGGACGGGCGCGGCAGGTCACGTTGGACCACCTAAAGACTGATGAAATAGGCGTAATAGCACGATACCTGTGTGCGCTGCTGCAGTTCCCGGAGACGAGCTTCGGCACGGGCCTTGGCGCGGGCTTCCTTCCTGTCTTCGGCATCTTCAACCCATTCGCCTTCATCCCCGTCTTCTTCTTTCCTAAAACCAACAAATTCCAAAGGGGGCAAAGTAAACTCACAACTCCTCATCGTCGGGTGCCACGATCTCAAAGTCGTTTTTCGGGCGCGGAAGGCTGGATAGGGCGCGCCGCAGGTCGGCCTTCTGCTCGTAGATGTCCATGGCGCCTTGGTTGATGCCCATTTGGTCGCGGAAAGGCGTCGGTGTGGCACCGACGGGTGTTTGGCCGGGTGTGCCTGAAAATAGGTTGATTCTGGACGCAAATGAAACACTCACGTCCGAATGAAGCCGTTCCGGGGGTGGCCGCGATCGACTGCAGCACGGTGTTCGGCGTCTCCATTGACTGGCGAATGGGGGTGACGGTGGAGAAGTTGCTCTCGAAAAGCGGCGTGTTCTCGCCGCCCTTCAGCGACGATTCGACGTTTTGGAGAGCGAGCAGATTGTGAACCTCCTAAGAAGAAGATGTGCTCAGTGCAAAACAAAGTACCTTCTCAAGCGTGTCCCTGTGATTGGCCGGAGTGCGCAACGTCCGGGCGTTAGCAGCATTTTGACGGGCAGAGGCAACATAGTCGGTTAGTAGGCCGCTAAAAAACCAGGGTTATGTGATGAAAAAAATAAAACATGCCTGGTAGGTGCGGTATCAGCATACTGGCTCATCGCCTCGGTCGCGTGGCCAATCTTCACGATTTCCTCGAGCTCCTTCTCGCTGATCTGCGGCGTGGGCAGGATCAGTTTGCCTAAAAGAAAAGTGTACAAACGGAAAAATAGAAATTAAGTAACCAATTCTATTGTTACTTTACAAAAAGGCTTACTTCGTTTCTTTTCCTGCTGCTCGAAGACCTTGCCGTGCTCGGCCTCTTGCGCCTTGCGCTTCTTCATCTTCTCGCGGTCGGCGCGGCGCTTCTCGTTTTCCAGCTCTGTCCCGGTCTTCTTGCGGTGGTCTTCGACGGCGAGGTTGGTCTTGTCCTCGTTCGAGAACCTGTCCATCGACGGGTCGTGGAAGCCCGCCGGCACCGGCTTCTCGAACGGGATCTCGGCGCTGTAGTCCACCTCGGGCCGCTTCATGAGTTGGAACTTGCTGGGCGGGATGAAGATGCCGGCCGCCTAAATCGAAAATAAAATAGATTCCAGAATCTAGCAAGGCGTAAGCTGAACTTTATCTGCATACCTTCAATTCCCTAGTCTTTTGTAGGGAGGCGCAGCGCCGGGCTTCGCTTAGCTGGCGCTCACGGGCCTTTCGCTTGGCCTTCTTTCCCTGAGTGTTGGCGAGACGAGCACGAGCTTCCGAAAGCATCTCCAGTTCGTCGTCATCCATGTCGATGGGATCGGGGCGGGCCGGCTTCGTCTCGGGCGTCGGGTCGATCTCGCCCGGCTTCAGCTTGCGCGCTTCCAGTGCTTCATCGTCGATTCCCACGGCCTTGCGCTGGGCTGCGTCGAGGAGCTGCTCATATCTAAAGCAAAGGAGCTGAAATTGTTTAGAAAATCGCACCTCTCAAGGCACTGCGTGGCTGTTCGGCCAACGATGGGGGCAATTGTTCGCCACTGCGTTGGCATCAGCTTGGCCAAGTGCAGCAGCTTCTCGTCCTCTTCGCGGCTCCATTCAGTCTTCTTGATCGACGGGTCCAGCCACTCGTGCCAACGAGCCTGAAAAATCCTTTCAAGCCTTTAACCAATCGTTACCTTGCACTGTTTCGCAGATTTTCTGTGCAGCAACGACGCGATACGGCTCCACTGGTTCTTGCCGTACTTCATGATGGCCGCTTTGAGGATTTCATCCTGAAACATAAAGCAGTTATTGACTGAGAAAAAAGGTTTACCTCAGTGTTGCGCCAGACGCCGCCCTTGATGATGACGCGCACCATTTTGACAAGGTGGCGATCTGAAAATTGGGTTTGATGAGGATTGTCAGATAATCCGTAGATAGAAATCAGAAAGGCAAGTTGTATCTAACGGTTTCGATAAAATTACAATGCAAAGGGACAAAATGTTTTGGCCTCCCTTTTGCAGAAAGAACAAAAAAAGAAGTAGCCATTTTGGGGATAGCATAGCGTTATCTAAAGGATGCGCAATTTAAACGATCAAATGAAGGGACGCGAAAACGGGAAACGGAGCGCATTGAGCAAGTTCCAGCAAGCAAAGAAAGGGCAGGCTAGCAACGATCTTTGGCTCTAATCGAGAATGTTTTATATCAATTCAAGAGACGTTATTTTCGAAGCTCGAGATGGCCGTGATTTTCCGAAACCGGGGGGCCGGCCCGACCCATCGAAAGTGAGCGGCGCACGAGATGTGAGACGTACATAGGTGCATAAGTAGTGACGTTGAAAAGGCTTTGAAAACTAAAAAAAACTCTTTTAGACGCAATTTTCGGTCATAGTAAAAACGAAATTTGGACACTAGAAAATTGAATGCGCGTGAGAATCTTTAAAAAAAGACATTCTGTTTTCAGAAGAGGCTTCAACCAAACCAGCCCAGGCTGCAAAACAAAGCTAACGATGCGGAAATTCAGCCATTACGATTTTTAGATAGGACAAGCCCGAAGGGATACCGAGAATAAACCCTGGAATTTGACTCTAGCGCTTGAGGGACCTTACATCACTACCTCGTCTGCTTCGAATACGATTGGCCGGCTGTATTCACCCGCAAAGGCGTGAAAATAGAGAAATTTTGTACAGTGTCCGCCTGCAGAACCAGAGCTCGCCGGTCTGCTTTCAGATAAGGTTAATTGTCCGTATTTAAGAAGTTACAATGGTTTTTGTTTTGAAAAAACGCCTAAACTAGTGTCTTTTCGAGGCTCATAAAGTATCTCGGAAGAACGGTTCGCCTAATTCAATTAGCACATCTTGCTCAGAAAAATGTGCGCTTTAAAATTGGCTTTCGCCAGCTTTGGCATCTCACGGATTTTTCAAATTATTTTTTACACGCTGTCGTTAGCATATTTTAGGCTTTTCCTGGTCCCACCGATATCTTTCCAACTCCCGTCAATCCCAAGAGTTCCATTTTGGCGATCAAGCGCCGCTTCCTTCGCGGACCCGGGTGTTTGGCGGGCGGCCAATCCATTTCCACACGTCGAAAGTTGCGGCCGCGCGCCCTCGATCTCGGAAACACAGCGCCGAACAGAAAAGAAGAGCTGAAAGAAGCGCGCGCCGAAAAAACGCATGGGCAGCGGGGGGTGAGCGCGACCTGTAAGTAGGTCATTGCCAGCGCGCAGCCCCCGCCTCCTCGCCGGCCATCGTTTTTTGGCCAACTTTTTTCGCCGATGCCGCCGGCTTTTTCTGGGTGGAGATGGGGTGAATTACGTGGGAGAGAGGAGGAGGAGCATGAGGAAGGTCGGTTGGATGTGGAAAGTGTTGGTTGGGGATGGATACTGCTAGAGTGATCGTCGGCATGCAGGAGGTGCTCCTCAAGGGTTTCTGCTAGTTCCCCTTGTGGGGAAGGCCACCTGGAAATCCTGAAAGTAGGCTGGCAGAGATTATTTGAGAACGAGTGACCAGTGGTCTGGGAAAGGAAGTCTAGCAGAGATTCTTTGGGAAATGGTATGCTAGCAGAGATTCTTTAGGAAATGGCAGGCTAGCAGAGATCTTTAGGAAATGGTATGCTAGCAGAGATTCTTTAGGGAATGGTAGGCTAGCAGAGATTCTTTAGGAAATGGCAAGCTAGCAAAGATCCCTGGTGCGCGCGGCGTTGTTCCCGGTTTTTCTGGCACAATTCCAGGGTCACCTGCAGCATACAATTCCGCGATCCACCGGGAGATGACGGGATTTCAAGGGCAAATGATCGGCCAGGTCTCGCGGCCCGGCATCGCATACACACACAACATGTTTATCTGGGTCAACGCCAAGGTGGCCCCCGCCCCCGCGAAGTAACACACCCGCCAGGTGTTCCTGTACGCAACATTCCTTTGTGCAACTCCGTACTACTAGTATTCTACAATTATGAGGTTTAAAGGCACGGTGAAGGCAATTCCATGGCCCTTGGAGCGTTGGCCATCAGCCAACCGATCCCCTTTCACCGTTGGGGCCCCGTTTGGGAGGCGGAGCTATGCCCAGAAGCACTTTTTGGGGTTTACAAGGAGGGGTACTGTAGCTGGGATTGACTTGGGGCTAAATTTTGCCTTCCATGGGCCTTTAGAGGCTCACGATGCCTTAGGAAAACCAAGGGATCTCTGCTAGCCTACCTACTAGCCGTTTGTAAAACTCCTGAAACCGGGAGAAGCTAGCAGAGACCATTTAGGATTTGGAAATTTTTAGGGGCAGAGAAAGCGTCGGAAAGTCATGAATGGTATCTGCTAGTATGCACAGCTTTCGCATTTCTTTTGGTTTTCCGGATTTTCCGGATAGGTCAGGCTAGCAGAGATTCCTAGGGGAAGAGCGGGACCGGGTTACCCACAACTTACAGGCAATATCTGCCGCCCGCGCCGACCGGGTGACCTTCAACCGATTTCACTTGATCTACGCCCCAGTCGGGTGGCTTTCCGCATCTTGTACATAGGCGCGGCGCGTAGGGCTCGGATTTAAGGGCAGGCTAGCAGAGAATATTTGGGAAAGGACCTAGATTTTAGACCTTGGATCGGAGACCGGATTGCCTTGGAAATTGCCCATATGCTGCCATCCGGTCATTTGAGCGCGTCATTACGGTGTTTTTGCTTGTTCCAGGACTCTTCAAGTGATCCCCGCTAGCCTGCCCGTTCCAGAAAAAATATCCGTCTTTTCTAAAAATCTTTGCTAGCCTGCCCTTTCCAGAAAGAATCTCTGCCAGCCCGTCTTTCCTAAAGCATCTCTGCTAGCCTGCCCTTTTCTCAAGGATCCCTGCTAGCCTGTCCTGAGTGGGACCGAATCGTCTCCGTATCCCTATCATAACCATCACTTTCCGAGCTCATGTTTTGGTCTCGGCCCAAATCGGGTCACATTTTAGTCAACAAGGTGGAGGCTGGAATTGGAACAAACAGGGATACGAGCTAGCAGAGATTCTTTAGGACAGGGCAGGGGCTGGCAGAGATTCTTCCGGAAAGAGCAGGGTAGCAGAGATTCTTTAGAAGAGAGCAGGCTAGCAGAGATTCTTTAGGAACTCTGTTCTACTTCTCGCCGTCTGCTTGTATATGTCACTGGTGGTTGGCGTGACCGGGGCGCGTCCCTGAAAATTCGGTTGCTCCGTCTGTGTGTGTGTGCCATTGCTGGGTGGAGGGATGGGGGGAGGCTGACCTTGCTAGGTCTTGCTCTCTCTCTCTCTCTCTCTCTCTCTCTCTCGCTCTCTCTCCTACAGTGTCCGCCCCCCCCATCATGGCTCGGCCTCCAATATTCCTGCCAGCCCCACTGCCACACTGCCCCGACTGGCTCGCGCTCACTTGCCCCGTTTTCGCCCCGGCTTTTCTAGACTTTCCCCCCCCTGGCCGGGGGCGAAATCGGACCGTTTCTGGGTGCATTGCGTAGTCTCGCGATTTTTGCACGATATTCTCGAGGTTAAGTGTGACGCGGGATTTTTTGTTCCTTTGCTTTTATGAGCTCGTTTTTCGAATCTCAAATACCAAGGTCCCACCGTATTTTTCAGCACTACCGTACCCCCAGCGCTGCGGGACCCGATGGACCCGGTGGAGCTGCTGACCCGAATGGGGCCCATTTCACTTCCCATGGCCCTGAGCCCACTTTCGATAAGCCCGATTGGTCTGGCGATGTCTTCACAGCAGTCTTCGCCCGTAATTGCAGGTGAGCGTTGACTTCGGTGGGCCTTTAGAGGGAGCTGGACGGTTTTTACTATGCTAGCCTCTTTCCTAAAGGATCTCCGCGAGCCGCGCGTTCCTAAAGAGTCTCTTCTAGCCTGCCCTGCCTAAAGAGTCTCTGCTAGCTCCCCTGCTACCATCCGTTAACGGTATTTTTAGACGGTGGCTGCCCACGCTCCGCTTTCCGCCCGATCGCCCCTTCTTCCGCTTCATCCGGCGGCTGCTCCGCGCAACTTACCGAGTCATTTTTCCTGTCCGCCATCCACACGCTGGTCATCGACTCGGCCAGCGAGGAGTCGACGAGCGACGCCGGGACGATGTCTGAGAAAGGTGAGTCTCTCTCACGCTCTTTCTCTCTCTCTCACTCCCCTCGCACAGCGGGACCCACTTTTTGGTGTGAGTCCGAGCGGCTGGCCGAGTTGGACGGGTGCCCTTTGCCAGGGAATCCAGTCCTCCTCTCCGGACTCCTTGTGAGACCGGGATGGCAAGCGAAAGTACGAGGCACTACGCACAGGACAACGCCGATCGGCCGATCCGATTGGCACTTTCCCGCCAAGTTGGAGGCGGAGGTCACACAAAGGCCCATTCCGGGGAGGAGCTCCCGTCCCCCCGGGAATTCCATTAAAGGCCCGATGAAGGCAAATCCATAGGCTTGTTAGACCCTTGGCAATTAAGCGTATCCCCTTTAGCCGTTCCGGGACCCGTTTGGGACGAAAGAACTCTGCCCCGAAGCACTTTTTGGATTTACGAGGAGGGGTACTGTAGCTGGGATCTGCTTGGGGCCAAAACCGAAGGGGCGGGGCTTGATTTTGCCTTCAACGCCCCTTTAAAACGCCGGGCTGACCTTAATGTTTCCCCTGCTTTCGATTCCCCTCGCAAATCCAGCCGGGTGGCAGACAGACACATAGTCACAGAAAACGACATCGAAACGCGCGCGCGAGCGCGTGAACCGGTTCGCGCGGGTGGCGCTCGTGGCGCAAGGCGCCCGAAAATGGGTCAGACGCCGCAGGGCATTCGGGTTGTAGGAGGGGAGAAGCCGGCTTTTGCCCTTGAAGGGGAGAACGAGTGAAGGGCACCGGAATTTTCCAAAGGATCTCGGCTAGCTTGCCGTTTCCTAAAAGATCTCTGCTAGCCTACTCGTTGCTGAAGAATCTATCCTAGCTGGCCTTCCGTGTACCGTTAGTGGCATAGACGAGAGAGAGAGAGATAGAGAGAGAGCGAGACCGAAAAACTCGACCTCCAGAACCCGGTGACCCCCGATGGAAGGGGCGGGGCTTAACTCGATGGGTGCTGTCGAAAGTCGAAAAAGAAATCCACAGAGGTCAATGACCCCGATTCGGGTTGTCCTCGGGCCTCGGGCCAGCTAGCAGAGATCCTTGGGGAGTACCGAAAAAATTGGAACGAGGGCAGGCTAGCAGAGATCATTTGGGACAGGTCCTGAGTCCAACTCCTTACACTTCCGCTTGTCCATAGCGCAACTCCGGAGCTTCCACTTCCTTATTTGCATAAATCTACTTCCCTGCTTTTCCAGGCTGCGACGAGGCGGTGCCGACCGGCTCCCTACTATGCCAAGTGTGCTCCGACCGCGCTTCCGGCTTCCACTACGGCGTCTTTGCGTGCGAGGGATGCAAGGTAGGAGCAGAGGATCTTTAGGAAACGGCAGACTAGCAGAGATTCTTTAGGAAAAGGTGCTAAAATATCTTTTTCAGGGCTTCTTCCGGCGCTCCATCCAGCAGAAGATCCAGTACCGCCCGTGCGCCAAGGCCCAGGACTGCCCGATAGTGCGCGCGAATCGGAATCGCTGCCAGTACTGCCGGCTGAAGAAGTGTGTGGCCGTCGGGATGAGTCGTGACGGTAAGTGGAGGATTTCCTAAAGAATCTCTGCCAGCCTGCTGTTTCCTCAAGAAGCGGCTAGATGGATCGCACTTCACAGCCCATTTAAAAACCCTTACTAGCGATTTTTTGGAGCAGCTAACTTGTCGAGTAGGCATAGGCCTTGACCCGGGTGCCCTGAAAAAATGCCTTTTTGCCGAACCCCCCCCGCGCTCCTAGTCGCATAGTTTTCAGCGGGGAGCGATAACCTTGAAACGCGGAACGGGGTCGGACTGCCTAACCTAAAAAAGCGAAAAATTTTGGGCTATTGGGGAACCGGGGCGGCCGATCGGGGGTCGGTGGCATAAAAATAAAGCTGAAGAAGAGGAAATGGGTCTCTCTCACTCACTCTCTCTCTCTCACTCTCTCTCTCTCTCGCTCTCTCTCTCTCTGGCTCTCTCTCTGACCCTCTCTCGTCTAAAGGGAAGGTGACAGCGAGGGCCCAAACCCGGAATATCGCTTCTCCCAGCTCCGGCCTCCTAAAGAATCTTTGCCAGTCCGCTCCTGGCTTCTCCGGGGTTTAAAGGGCCATTGAAGGCAAATCGAGCCCCGCCCCTTTGATTTTTGGCCCAAAGCCAACCCCAGCTACAGTACCCTTCCTTGTAAGTCCAAAAATGTTTGTTTTTAGCCGTGCGATTCGGGCGGGTGCCGAAGCGGGAGAAGGCGCGCATGGTCGAAGAAATAGCGCGCTCATCCGTGCGCTGCCAGGTCGACGCGATGCGGCTGCAGTTCGAGGATCCGGCGCTGGTCTTCAACAGGACGACGCAGGCGTTTGCACGGTTGTTGGAATCGGTAGGTTATCTCGAGTCTCTCTCTCTCTCTCTCTCTCTCTCTCGCGAATACCATGCACGTCTTGCAGGTGTGGTCCGTGTGGTCGGTGACCCCAGGGCACTGTCCGCTTCCGTTTGCCGCCTATCTACCGTCGATCAAGGCCGTCGTCGACTTTGCCAACTGCTTGCCCGGCTTCTTATGTCTGCCACAAGCTGAGCGAGTGTTGCTTCTGAAGGTAGGCCGGCTAGCAGAGATTCTTTAGGATAGGGCAGGCTAGCAGAGACTCTTCCGGAATCAACCTATTCTTCCTTACAAGCCCACATTCAGACCTGCGTCTTCGACGTGCTCCTCATCGTCGGTTGTGCGCGGGATCCGCCCCCGGCTTCCGCTTCTCCCCTCCTCTCCCACTCGATGGCACTCCTATCGACGCGTATCCGCGCCAACGCCGCCACGCCGATCCTCGCAGCGCTGGCGGTCTGCTCTGCTTCCGGGGCACCGAGCGCACTGGTGGGTAAATTGTTTTGATATCGAGTGCAGGCTAGCAGAGTTCTTGAGGAAAGGGCAGGCTAGCAGATATTTTTTAGGAACAGAACCACTGCAGAAATGTCCTTCAAACCCCTTATTCCAGGCAACAACCCTGGCCGAGTGCTACTGGTCGGTGGTGGCCACCGTCGCACCGTCGTGTGCACAGGCGATGCCCGGTCTGCTCGCCGACCTGCGCGGCCTCTCCATCCTCCACAGTGAGCGCGTGCGCTGCCCAGTGCCTCAGAAGTCGTTCCGGTGAGTCCTGGCTAGAATCATATCCCAAGGTTTTCAAGAATCTCTGCTAGAAGACCTTTCCTAAAGAAACTCTGCTAGCTTGCCATTACCCTTAAATTCTGAGGTTTTTAGTGAGCGGCACGCGTCTCTGGCGTCACTTCTAGAAGGCGGTCCCTCGCTCTGCTCCTCGGCCTCCAGCGTGTCGTCATGTCCGATGGGGATGGACCAGGGATTGATGGCATCGCCGCCAGAAATTAAGGTGAGAGAGAGAGAGAGAGAGAGAGAGAGAGTGATAGCGAGAGAGATTTGAACCGTTGCTTCCTCACAAGTGCTTACTAGCACAATCGAACGTAGAAACCGTCAAAACGACGATTTCCAGGTCGACATCTCGCCCCCGGCCTCCATCGACGGCGAGCTGGACGACGACAAGCCGCTCGATCTATCGCTCAAGAAGCGCAGTCCCTAATTATCGAATTCCGTTTTCCATATAGTATAAGCCCAAGCCCAAGTTGCCCTTAACCGCCCAACACTGCCCGTTTTGTGCAAAAAAATACCTTTTGATACTTGAACCCACCCCCGGTGCCCCCCATCCTGATGTCACAATGCGATCTGACTCGCCCGTTGCTGCGTTTCTCGAGTTGTTCCCGTGTAGTGCCTTTTAGCAATCCGACTAGTTGTAGGTTAGAAAATTTAAAGTTTTGTGCATCAAAAGAAAGTCTGGCCCCTCGCTGCCACTTTTTTTTTGAGGGCAAGAAACCCGTCCCAAACCCCCGCAAAAAAGGTGCGGCCCTTCGAACCTCACGTGCTCTTTGCCCCTCCCCCCCGTTCACTTTGACAATCATGCATATATCACTTTGATTTTACGATTGGCAATGATAAATTTTATATTCACAAATAGAGACGTAAATATCTTTTTGAGTGCTTGGTGAATGACTGGTCTAAAGTTGGCCTTTATTATCACGAGCACATAATCAATAACCCGGAAAAACGAAGGATCACAAAAACGAAAACGAAGAACAACGGATTACAGAAAATCAACATTGGGCGTTGATGCGGCCCTGGGGGGAGTACCAACGCGGAAACGGGATCACATCGCGGATGCTGGGTTCGCCGAGGTGACATTGCAGAAGACGGTCGAAGCCGATCCCGAAGCCGGCCGACGTCGGCTTGCCTCGTCTGCGTAGCTCGGCGTACCTGGAACGATAACTTTGATGAGATAGAGCTTGGAAAGCCTCAACGGTCGAGCCAAGAGAACAATCGAAAACCAACCAAGCCAACTCTGGCTGCGCGTTCCGCTTCATCAACTCGTCGGGGTCTTGCTCCCTGACCCCCGCCGCTGGCCACCTCGCCAATCCCCGGCCAGAGCAGATCGAACGAGTCGGTCTAAAAATAAATCCAATGCGGTAAAAATATGTCTACCAATTTCTGGTCGCTTCTCCTCATGTAAAACGGCTTCTGGTCGATCGGAAAGTTGGTGACGAAGACGGGCGAGCCGAAATGGGCGGCCAAGAACATCTCATTGGCTTTCGAGAGTCCCCGGCCGTCGATGTTCTCTTCATGCTTCTAAAAAAATTTCGTCATAACGATAAATTAGATACCGCCAGAATGGCCAGCGCCTCGTCGTACGTGATCCGCGGAAATCGAGCAAGCCCGGGCTGAAGCCGCTTCATTGGCTGAACGCAGAGAATGTGATGGCGATCGTTAAATACCTCCGATACTTCCTTGGCAAATGACCGTGCCAATTCGACGTCACCTTTCAGCGCGGCGAACCCCTTGAGGATGAACAACATGTACTTCTCGACAACATCACAAATCTGAACATGATTTTCAGCGCTTCATTCCGAAAAGAAAAGGCAATAAAAATAGCGTACCTCCGTCAGGGTTTCACAAAACGCCACCTCGGCTTCTAGCATCCGAAATTCGGCGAGGTGGGTGCGGCTGTGAGGCTGGATGTCGGCCCGGAACGCGCTGCCGATCGTGTAGACCCGCGGAATTCCACTGAAAGCAAGGAGTAACGAAAACCAGATATCAACCCTCACCTGGTCATCGCTTCCAGGTGCATTTGGCTTGACACCGACAAAAACATCTTCTTGTTGACGCCAAAGTAGTCGGGTTTTTCCGCGTGCACCGTAAACGTTTCGCCAGCCCCCTCGCAATCGTTGCTCGTCAGCACCGGCGTGTCGATATGCACGTAGTCGTTTTCCTACAAAAGACAATGATGAAGCTCGCCATTTTCACCTCGAAAAACGCATGCGTCAAAATTGTCAGTCTAGAGCGGAGTCGCATTATGGCGGCGAAGCCCGGATGTCTGGCCCTCAAATGCACCGCTTGGCGTATCGCATCCGCAGATTTTTGCTCGTAGTCAGGCTAAACACAACAAAAACAGTGAGAAACTTGCTGCCCAAAAAGACAAACCTACATTCTCATCTGTGGCACAAATCCTGAGCTGCTCGGCGTGCAATTCCATGTCTTGCTCGGCACCGCGACTCTTGGCCCAGTTTCCGCTGACCGCAATCGCCGCACCAACTGGGACGTTCTTGTACACGCTCTTCGGCACGACTATCTAAATCACGATGCAAAGTAAGGCAGCCTTCATCCTAAACTGGCTAAAACAAACACACTTGGACGTTCCGCGTCGAAGTCCCGTCATGTACTCGCACGAATGACATCTTGGAAAACTTCGACGAGCGAACGACCCAGCCCTAAACTTTAGTTTAGGTATATAAAAGCCTGATACGTGAATTTCTGCATGGCCGCATTCTTGTTGTTGCTCGAAGACTTTGCTGAGGGTGGAACACGCCGGCGCGAAAGACCTTACGCAGCTCCCTGGCAGCAATAGCCGCAACATTCTAGAAATGGTAAATATGGTCACGTTAGAAGCGTTTGCAAAGAAAGCGGAGGGCCTTCAACAAATCAACATTTCCAATGCAGCCCGTCCACAAAAACGTCGTAATGGCGAGGGCACGTGCAAGAAGAGAGGACACTGACGCATAGACAACTCATAGCTCGCTGCAAACCGCCAGGCAACACCGACGAGAGAACGAAGCAGCTCCCAGAACCAATTGTCGTAGACGCCATTCGCAAATCGAACCCGAATCGTGGCCAACATTCATACTGGAGCAACTCTTCGTGGAAATCGCAAGCTTTGTATGTGCTCAAAGTAAAGCATTTATTAGCAATCATCAGATTTAATCAATTTATCGAAAGGAAATAACAAAAACAAAGCGTAAGGCAACTTATTTCAACTCCTTGACGCTGATGCCCGGGGGTAGCGACTGCTTCAGCTTCTCGGCCTTCACCTTGTCCTTGATGACGAGCGTGTAGAGGAACCGGCTGCATCGCACTTTGAACTTGACGTTGTCCGCGTTCTTCTTTATCTTGACCGACTTGGCGTCCTTGCTTCTCGCCTTCAGGAGGAAGTCCTTGATCTCGTGGATTTGTCGCGGCATGGCCTCCGGGATACCCTGGAAATAAAAATGTAATGATGAATTGAAAATGGGAACGTAAAAGTGCAGCAATTATAAAAAAAAGGCCAGACTAGAAAAACCGACGGGTGCTGAAATCGTGAAGAAAAACGAAATGAAAAAATCTCGGGCCAGGTCGACCCGATTCCACGACGCACCGCTTACGGATTGTTGCTGCGCGGAATCCACTTACGCCCGGTAAATCATTAACTTTGAAGGTTTAGAAGTAAAAATACATTAGATTTCATAATATTATTATAATTTTCATTAGATTTTCAGTATATTTAATGCTGAAATCCGATTTTGAACAAAAGGAGAATGAAAATCAAGGAAGGGACCTCACCACGGCTGCGTCGACGTCTAAGGGGGATAGTTTCGAGCTGTAAAAGAAGGAAAATGCCTTTTAGAATTACAACTGCTTAAAAAGCAAAGAAGCAAGATTTATGGAAAAGACAATTCCTTATTAAAGCGTAAAATTAAAACTAGGGCAGGCAGACGTTACGTCAAAAATGTTGCCCCAAAAATAGGATGTATATTTTTGCGTATCCGGCGGCCCACCTGGTGTCGTGTTTGCGCACCGCCTCCGGTTTCTCGCCTTTTTGAATTTGTAGAGGGAAAGAGGAAGCAGAAAAAGAAGAAAAAGTCGAAGAAGAGGGCCGTTGAATTCCGGGGTGGGGGCAGGAGGCTCCCATTCTTTGCCCATCACTTCTGCACGCCCACCGATTTGGTCGCCGGATGACTTTGGGCGGGATTTCGATAAAAGGTGAGGATGGATATTAAGAAAGGGTTTAGGCTATGGTTTCGGCTTAGGCTTAGGCTTCAGCTTCGGCTTAGGTCTAGGCTTAGGCGGAGGCTTAGGTTTAGGCTTTGGCTTAGGCATGATGCAAACACCATTTCGAAATCCACTCCACGTTTTGCCCCCAGCCATATCTTTCGCTTAATTTTGCCAAAAGCTAGGGTGGGCAGGAGGGGCGATGGGAGAGCCGGGCGTCGGGCGAAGGTGCAACCGGTTCCTCGCCGTCGACCGTTGCTTTCCGTCGCTATCTCTGGCTCTCTCTCCCTCTCTCTCTCTCTCTCTCTCTCTCTCTCTCTCCCACCTTCCCTCCGATGTTTGCACGCGCCCGGCCAGAGCAGCGCCCCTTACTACCCCCTCGGGAAGTCGGCCAGATAGGGTGGTGTTTTGGGCATTACTCGAACACCTTGGTCCAGTTTCCTAAAGAATCTCTGCTAGCTGACCATCGGATTTTGATTGGCTGTCCTCCTAAAGCTTTTTTGAGCCTTCCCGTTCCTAACGAATCTCTGCTAGTCTGCCTGCCCGATGTGTTATGTAATTTGGCCGGTGCCGGAGCCCTCCAACAACGAAATGGCCTTGACACGGGCTGTGTGTCGGGAGGACCGCTGTCTCTCGCCCCGCGACAACACGTACCCATTTTGTTCGATTTGTTCCAGCGGCGCGTGTAAATTGGAAACAACGGAGATTTTCAGCTATCCGAGCCAAAAGTCGGTTTTTGAAAGGCAGGCTAGCAGAGATGCTTCGGAAGGGGCAGGCTAGCAGAGGTTCTTTGGAGCGATCCGCAGCACGTTTTTTCCATTTTTTTCCAATCGCCTCACCTAAACCGGTCTTTAGTTGACCGTGATGAGTCATTCCGCTTGCCGTTATTTTGCTACAATATTCGAGTGGTCTCTCTCTCTCTCTCGCTCACTTCTCCCATCGCCATCATCCAAATCCTATTGTGACGTCCCGGCGCCTTTGGCTAGTAGTGACGCTCCGGGGGGTGGGACGTCAGGATTTTTATGGCGTAACTGGTTCGGGTTGGCCGAGTTGCGAGTCGCCAAATTGTTTCGGACAACGTCGAGGTCCTCACTTTTCCTGAATGATCTCTGCTAGCCTGCTTTTTCCTAAAGAATCTCCGCTAGCCCACCCATTTCAGGCCATGTCAAACGAGGGGAATTTCCGGTCACCCGGAAATTTCTTCTCATCGCTGATCTCCGAGATCACCTCCTCCACCTCCACCTCAAACGACCATCCGATGTCCAGGTGGGTGAGAGAGCGAAGAAAATCTAGAGATCATAGAGAGTTTTCCCAAAGAACCTCCGCTAGCCTGCGCTTTCAGCGCGACGCCTTCGTACGCGCCAATGGACATCGAGCAGAGGATCTCCATCACCCTCCAGCACGGCAACCACCGCGAGCTGGTGGTGATCGAGAGGAGCGAGCAGGCGCATGTAGGTTGAATTTTCTGGGTTTAAAGGGCCATTGAAGGCAAAATGGAGCCCCGTAGCTTCGATTTTTGTCCGAAATTCAACCCGAGCTACAGTACCCCCCTTGTAAATCCAAAAAGTGTTTGGAGGCACAGCTATTTCGTCCCAACCGGGTCCCGCAACGGCTAAACGGGATAGGTTGGATGCTTGCCAGGGGTCTAAGGCTGTGGGTTTGCCTTGCCTGGCCCTTTAAGGTGTTCAGCTACGCTTTACAGGTCTACTACGGCTTGATGGAGCGGGCAAGGAATCTGGCAGCAAAGGGTGATTCGAAGGTACGTTTTTGATGGATCTGAGCTCGCTCTCTGTACATTCTTTCTTTCCCTGCCTCTCTCTCTCTCTCTCTCTCTCTCTCTCTCTCTCTAAAAACTCTCTCAGGGTGAGGTCCACCTCTTCCGACACGACTACCTCTCACCCCAGATCCTCCACCCCTTGACCTGCATAACACAGCTGGTAAGGTTTTTTAAAAGGCTTTCAAGGTGCGGTAAACGCAGATTTTTCGTGCGTGTAGCTTCCGAGACTCTTTAAAAAAGTATTTGGACTTTTAAGGGCAACGGAAGCGTCGTCGAGGTGATAGTTGTCGATCGGAACGAGGTGCCGACAAGGCCGCACATTGTTGAGGTGAGGGCAAGCTAGCAGGGATTCTTAAGGAAAGGGCAGGCCAGCAGGGATTCTTCAGGAACTTTTTTTCAGGTCAACACCTACCTAACGCCCACCTTCTGTGACTACTGTGGCGAAATCCTCGTCGGTCTCGTCAAGCAGGGCCTCCAGTGCCAGCGCTGCAGGTGGGGAACAAACGCTTCCCAGTCCCTTTAAAACCAAAAATTACTGGGTTTTAGATGCAACTTCCACAAAAAGTGCGCGTTCGCGTCGCGGAACAATTGTGCGCGAAATACGTCGGTGGCGGGCCCGCCACCAGTGATGCAGCAGCAAGCCTACGCCACGCAACAAATGCCACAGTATCCGCAGACGCCGATGGGTGAGAGGGAGAGAGCAGGGAGAGAAAGAGAGCGAGAGAAGGAGTGAGAGAGAGGGAGAGAGATTCCTCAGGGATCCCGGCTAGCCTGCTCGTTTCAGATGATTCGCCTTCGGCTATGGTGGCCTCTCCGTACGCCCTGCCCCACACGCTTGCCGTTCACAACTACAAGACGCTGACGGTCTGCAAGGTCGGCGGTTCCCCAAAGAAGCCCTGCTAGCCTGCCTGTTACTAAAGAAACTCCGCTAGCTTTCCCTTTCCTAAAGAATCTCTGCTAGCCTGCCCTTTCCTAAAGAATTCCTGCTAGCCTGCGCTTCCTAAAGAACCTCTGCTTGCCTGCCCTGAAAAACAAATTTTCTAGGTATGCGACAAGATGCTGTTCGGCATCATGAAGCAGGGCCTGCGCTGCCGGGACTGCAAGGTGAACGTGCACAAGAAGTGCGCCGCGCTGCTCCCTCAGAATTGCCATATCGCCGACGGGTCCATCACAGCGTTTGAGCAACTCTCAGTGGTGGGTCTTTCTCGCTCTCTCTCTCTCTCTCTTTCTCGCTCTCTCTCTTTCTCGCGCACCAATGAAACACTCTCATTACCCCCCGATTCCAGCCGGCTAATCTCGGCCAAATGCCAACATCATCGCGCGCGCTTTTCGGGCCTTCCTCGGGAAGCGCCGAGTTTCGATGGTGGTATTATTGAAGCCGGGAGAACCGGTTTCGGCTTTTCCGACCCGACCCACCCGATATGCAAATTGGGACCAAAACGGACCGCTGGGGGCTCAGATTTTCGCTTTTCGGCCCTTCGTTTAGGAGAACACTATGGTTTTCCTACGGTTTTGACAAAATGGTCTTTGCTAGCTTGCCAAGGATTCGGGGGTGTAAATTCTATGCAAATTCTATGATTTTGAGCGCGAATAGGACATATTTGCTAGTCTTTCTCTCACACTATCCCACTCTCTCTCTCTCTCTCTCTCTCTCTCTCTTCCTCCCTCTATGTTTCAACTTTCAGAGCGAGCAACCGTCCGTCTCCCCGCAGGACGAGCCGTCCGAGGCGAACACCTCGATCGACTCGGATCTGATCCCGCTCAGCCGGATACCAGGTTTGGCCACAATGCATATATCGGATTTACAAGCGGATGCTACTGTAGCTTCAGTTGGCTTTGGGCCGAAAATGAAAGGGGGCGGAGCTAGATTTTGCCTTCAAGGGTCCTTTAAAGCTACCAAGAAAACGGTCTTACTTTCAACATTTCCAGGCCAGGCGGCCGCCCGGCACGCCAACAAGCAGGCCCATGAGGGCTGGATGATCCACTTTTTGCTCAACGAACCGCAGAGGTGGGTAGAGCAAGAGAGAGAGAGAGAGAGAGAGAGAGAGAGAGAGAGAGAGAGAGAGAGAGAGAGAGAGAGAGAGAGAGAGAGAGAGAGAGAGAGAGAGAGAGAGAGAGAGAGAGTGAGCGAGAGAGAGAAAGATGTTTTCAGGAGATTACGCCACTACTGGATGCTGTCGAACAACGTGCTGTCGCTGTACAACGAGTACTCGGAGGGGGTCGGGGTCAACCCGACGAGGTGCTACCGGCAGATACCGCTCTCGGAGATACTGGCCATTACTCCGTACAACGGCGATCCGGTGGACCCGAGGTTGGCACGCTCTGCAGAGATTCTTTAGGAAAGGGCAGGCTAGCAGAGACTCTTTGCAGTCTTATTTTGATACCTCGCTAATCCCTGTAGCAATAAAACGCCCAAATCCCAAATTTTCCAGATTT